AGATAGATAGATAGATAGATAGATAGATATTCAAATCTACATGTACATATAACCAACACTTTCATGAAAAGTATTTATATAATGGGAATATTGATTAATCACAATGTTCAGAGGCAGAGTTGCAAACTCAAATGCTTACCAAATCAGGCAGGTATCACAATTGAGTAAACTAGGCCAGATTTTAGAGCAAAAATTTTTAATATATTGATTCAAAACTTATTTTTTTTAAAAAAACTTCCAAAGGAAGAACAATCCTTCTGAATATAACATTTAACCCATATAAAGCTGGTATGCAATCTTCTATTTCTGGGTTATAAAGTTAACAGAAATCTATTTTTGAGTCTTGTTCTTATCAGTTTATTTCTTTGAAAAGTTCAGTAAAATCTGTTGGAGTTTTTTTTTTTTTATGACTGGGAATACTTTGGTAGATTAACATGATTCATAAAATGATAATGCATTCAAAACTACAGGTGTAGGCAGAGGTTAAGGTGTTTAATAAATACATCACTAGGCTGAATGGGATTAGGTCTAGGTTCCCTTTGGAAATTGCTGTTTTGTTTCTGTGAGCCACTTAATATGTGTTTATTTTTAAAAATGAAACAAATATTTATTAGGGTCCATTTTTTATGATTTACCACTTTAAAGTAGAATAATAATATTGTCTGACAATGCTATGTTGCAATTTTGACTAGTCAGGATTCAATTTTTATTCAACTCTTCACTTACAAACATGTAATTGAGAAATTATCCATGTATACAAATAGCAACAACTTTCTCTGAATTGCTTTCACTGCTAACACCTTATGAAAGTTATTGAGGCAAGTAGGATGAGAAATGACAATCTGGAGCTTCCAAGAATATGTAGGTCATGAGAAAAAGATAAAGAAGTTACCATGAAAAGCAAAAGTATCTTAGGGGTGGTTAAACAGGGGCAGATAGCCTGAAAGACTTTAGTCATGCCGAAATATCACTCTTTATTCTGCCTAAACTGTTTTTCAAGTTCTTTTTATTATCTATTAAAGCTAGAATTCCAGTTAAAAATATCTGTTTACCAGTGTTTTTTTAAAAAAAAATTATTCTAAAATGCTGAATCCATTTTCCTAGTTACAAACAGGAAATCATTGAACACTATCTCAAATGAATTGCTTTATTTCTAAATCCTAGCTCAGATAAAGCACATTCAAGTGGCCAATAGGGCTGGTAAGTTTATTTAAAGCATAAAGATCTTTCAGGACTGGGGTAGGCTTAGGTGGATCTTCTTAGTATATGAGTCCAGACAACTTAGGGTGAAACATTTTGTATTTGAATGTTTTCCCATGTGGACTTTGGGTCCAAGCATTGAGGAGGAATCTCTTGCTCTCCCTCCTTCTAGTACTGCCCAGGTCTCTCCTCCATAATCTAGAATACAGATCACATAGTATAAAGTTCAAAGTCATCACGGACTATTTTTGTCTATGAGCTAAATCAAGGTTGTAATCATAGTAGCATCATTATTAATGGTATGAGTTCTTGAAAACAATTTGTTCACAGCTTCCGGTTCATATGCTGTCTTCAAGTAGCTTCACCAATTCTTATTTGGTGTATTAAGCCCATAGAAGTTCCATCAGCCTCCCAAGGCTTTGTGTTGTTTTTAATTCATCAGTGTCTTCTATCACTGAAGCTTGGGGTCCCCTCCTCATGTCTAGCAATTAAAATAAAGGTTGTAGTTTGTTTTAATTGATTGTCAATGAGCAAGGAGAAAGGAAGAAGAAAAGAGAAAACTCACACACACATTTGAAAGCAAGAGGATGATTTTGAAATTTTCCTTTCAGATATCTGATCTTTGTGTTTCCTTCCCTGTAGAGTACTAGATAGAGCATAACACATACAAAAACTGAGGATTAAAAGTGGGGCATATTTTTTCTTAATTCATGACTCCACAGATGTAGGCAGAAAGAGATTCTATACCCTAGCTGCAAATTTTGGTCCATTGGATAAACTGAATTTATTTTCTTCTGATAGATTTCTTTCAAAAGTGAAAGAACAAAGCGTTATATATACGTGTGTGTGTGTGTATACCTACACATATACAAATTTTATATACACGCAAATTTTGTATGCATATGTAATATATATACATATATTTATATACATATATACACAAATTTTATATACATATTATATATATATATATTCATCCAACAAATATTTACTTAAGATCTATAATATCCTAATAACTATTCTAAACACTTGGACTAAATAACTTAAACAAACCAAATCAAATAAGTAAAACATGTCCTCAATGTCAACATTGTAATTATGGTAGTAAACAATAATAAAAATAAATAAGTTAGTGTTTAGAAAGGGATAGGTTATGGAAACCATATATCAGGCCAAGTAAGGTTAAGGTGTATTGAGGAGAAGGGTATGCTATAATGTTATGGTGGTCAGCGTAGAACTCAATGAAGAAAATAAACTCTGAGCAATACTTTAAGGCAGGAAACAAGTTGTAACTAGCTGGCTATCTAGAGAAGAGCATATGGTCAATGTAAAAGCCTAAAAGTAAATCAGAGCATTCCCTAAAATATAGCACCAGGTTTTTTGTTGTTGTTTTTTTTTTTAATTAAATTTATAAAAGTAACATTAGTTAATAACATTATATACTTTTCAGGTGTACAAGTTTATAATTTGACATCTGTGTACTCTATTCGTGCTCCCCACTTGAAATCTAATTTCTGTCCTTACCATGTAATTTGACCCTCTTTTTCCACTTTAATCTCCTCCTACCCTCTTTCCCCTCTGGTAACCACCATTCTGTTCTCTGTATCTATGAGTTTGTTTTGTTTTTTTATTACTTTTTGTTTTCTATTCTACATATGAGTCAAATCGATTGTTTTGCTCTTTTTTGTCTGAATATTTTCACTGAGAATGATATTCTCAAGATCCATCTACATTGCTGCAAATGGCAACATTTTATTTTTTATGGCTGAGTAGTATTCTATTACACATGTACTGTATCTTCTTTATCCAATCATCCATCAATAAACACTTAGATTGTTTCCATGTCTTGGCTATTGTAGCTAATGCTACAATGAACGTAGGGGTACATATATCTTTAATAATAATTGTTTTTATATTTTGGGGTTAAGTACCCAGAAGGGGAATTGCTGGATGATATAGTAATTCTCTTCTTAATTTTTTGAGAAACTTTCATATTGTTTTCCATAGTGGCTGTACTAATTTACATTCCTACCAACAGTGTACAAGGGTTCTCTTTTTTTCCACACCTTCCCTAACACTTGTTATTTATTTTTTTCTTTTTTCTTTTTTTTTTATAATAGCCATTCTAAATGGTATGAAGTGGTATCTCATTATGGTTTTGATTTGCATTTTCCTAATGAATAGTGATCTTTAACAGCATTTTATATGTCTGTTGGCCATCTGTATGTCTTCCATGGAAAGATGTATTTGAGTCCTTTGCTCATTTTTTTTTTTTAATCACATTGTTTGGTTTTTTTTGTTGTTGTTGCTGAGTTGTGTGAATTCCTTACATGTTTTTGGATATTATCCCCTAATTGAGGTTTCATTTGTAAATATTTTCTCCCATTTTTTAGGTTGTCTTTTTTGTTGTTGATGTTTTCTTTTGCTATGCAGAAGTGTTTTAGTTTGATTTAGTCCCATCTATGTACTTTTGCTTCTACTTCTCTTGTCTTCCCATCAAGTTCACCAAAATCCCTCTGAGTCCAAGGTCAGTTTTAGTGCCTAAGTTTTCTTGTATGTATTTTATTGTTTCAGATCTTACATTAAAGTTTTTATTTCATTTTGAGTTAATTTTTGTGTTCTAGAAATAGTAGTCTAGTTTTATTCTTTTGCATGCTGCTGTCCAATTTTCCCAACACCATTTACTACAGACATTTTTTCCTTCCATTTTATATTCATGGCACCTTTGTCAAAAATTAGTTGTCTATATATGTGTGAGTTTATTTCTGAACTTTCAGTTTTGTTCCTTGGTCTGTGTGTCTGTTACCATGCTGTTTTGACTACTATATCTTTGTAGTATAGTTTGAAATCATGGAGTGTGATACCTCTGGTTTTGTTCTTTTTTCTCAGGATGGCTTTGGCTATTTGGGGTCTTTTGTAGTTCCATATAAACTTAAGTATTTTTTGTTCTATGTCTGTGAAAAATGCCATTGGGATTTTGATAGGGATTGAATTGAATCTGTAGATTGCTTTAGGTAATATAGATATTTTAACAATATTAATCCTTCCAATCCATGAACATAGTATATCTTTTCACTGTTTAGTGTCTTCCTCAATTCCTTTAAACAATGTCTTGCAGTTTTCACTGTACTGGTTCTTTACTTCCTTTGTTAAGTTTATTCCTAGGTATTTCATTTTTTGTTGTTGTTGAAGTTATAAACAGGATTGTTTTCTTGTTCTCTCATTCTGATATTTCATGGTTAGCATACAGAAATGCAACAGATTTTTGAATATTGATTTTATGTCCTGCAACTTTAATGTATTTAATTGTTACTAATGGGGTGTGTGTGTGTGTGTGTGTGTGTGTGTGTGTGTGTGTGAAATCTTTAGGGTTTTCTATACATAAAATAAAGTCATTTGCAACAGTGACTTTTATATCTTCTTTTCCAGTTTGGGTTCCTTTTATTTCTTTTTCT